CTGCCTCGGTTGAGCAGGTTACAGTCATCCTGCGTCACTGCTGCATCCTGGGTGCTGGATGTCAATATGTCCAGCTGTCCATTCTGAAGGTCAGAAGAACTTGGCGAGCTCCAGAAGTCTAGTGAAAAACCAACAGGAACATTAGAAAGAAAAGGTCTGGAGAACATTCATTCATTACAGCAGACTGTACCTTGACCCATGTGTGAAATGGACTCCAGCTGTCTGTGAGTTGTCGCTTTGGCGATGGCCTCTGGAAGCCCCAGTGGGAAAGGCAACACATCCCTGCAGACAAAGTAACCATTTGAAGCTAAATAACTAATGGGAACAGAAATAGAAGTTCAACAAACTGGGGGACAAGTGAATGTGTGACATCACCTGCTGATACAGTAGAAGGCCACAAGTCGACACAAATCAGGGAAACTGAGCGCTGAGTTCTCCAGAGAAAAGGCTGCAGACAGAGGAGACAGTGAGAGTGACACCTGTGGAGGCTGCTGAGAAGACACCCCCAGATCTGACTGTTTCCTGTAAATACAAACTGTGTAAGAAATTGAGGACAACTGAGAGATAATGAGATGAAGTCTGATCTATATTCTGAAATGCTACTGGACTCTTTATTTAAACTGGAACATTTTCCCAAGAGGTTTCGTGGGATTTCAGCAGAACAGGTCCAGGCAGAGTGGGTGTTGTTTGACTGTGTTTGCCTGTGGTCCAGCTCTGTCTCCTATTGAAATGTATGGTTTGTGATGAACAGGAGAGTCTGACTGTGGTGACCAAAGACTCTGAACCAAAGCTGCTCTGAGCAAATGTAAGAAAATAGCAGAAACGAGTTTCCCTGTATCCACCTTGACCTGATGAATACATATGTACTCACTGGAGTCCTCCTCACAGATGAAGCACTCCTTCACAGAGGAGGTGCTTCTGTCTGCTGTCACCCTCAGACACAGCACCTTCCTCTGGGTGGCGCTGCATTTACGGACCAGAAAGGTCTGTGTGGAGAGAAAATAAAAAACAACAAACCAACACGTTGTGTATTCGTGGTTTAGTTGTATTTATTTGTCTATGAATCAAAGGGATCAGTGACATGATGGTTTTCTAAGCCTCACCCCGACAGGCTCTCGCAGCAGGATGTAGAGGGCGGAGTCGTGGTTGAGTGACAGCTGCAGCCACACGGGGTGAGTGAGGAGCAGACGATCAAGGACGCTGAAGACCCGCTGAGAGCCTCGCTGGGAACCACCCAGGCCCTGCATCTGAACGAGACACACACACACATAAACACACACACACACCAAGACATGACCTGACAGGCGCTTGAGTTTCACTTCTGTATTAAGAAGTCAATCAAGATCAGTTGGTTTAGAGATGATCTGAACATACCCAAGGAATTTACATTTAGTCTTTAGCTAAACAGCATACGTATATGTGTAGCAAGTTCATTTATAGATTAACAATTAGACTAGAAATCTGATAAAAGTCTGGTAAATGTGAACTAAAATAATATGTTTCAAGACAGAATTTGCAACAAATACAACACAAAGATGGCCAACTTATTGATAAAGGTTAAAAAAAAGCAAGAAAATAAATAGTTGAAAGAATTGGTCAGAAAAAATAAAGCTAGCTGCTAAAGCTTAGCATAAGAAAACATTGGCAAAGTTGAAAAGATTCAATGAATCAAATTACTGTACTAATGTTTTATATGAAAATAATCAGGATGGTATTTAGACCTTTAAATGCGAGTTTCAATCACATGAATTTATATTATTATTATATAAATATATATATATATAAAAATGATGTTTTTCATTATATGTAATTATAATTTAAACATGAGTTAAAACATGTTAGAGTCTGTAATATTTTGATATTTCAGCTGCTTCGGAGCTCTAGCTCTGAAGCAGCTGAACGTAGCATGTTAGCATTACATAAAAGAGGATTAAAATCCAGTCAGACTGTGACAGTGTTAACACAAATCCCATTTGTACAGAGATAATAAAAACTGTTTAACAGTGTTACACAATTTGTTTCACTTTAGAGCGCAGATGTAATTTTCTTTTCTTTTTTCTTAAGTATGATTAGCTATTTTAAGCTATTTTGCTTATGCCAGATTAGAAAAGAATCCAGACAAATCAGTTAATCAGAAAATATAGCAAAATCGGGAAGTTGGCCAAAAATAACAACCAGATATAAAGCCAAGGATTTAAAGGTGTTAAAAATATATAACTCATAGGAAAAGTAGCCTAAAGTTAGTTCATGAATATCTAAAAGTTATAAAAAGTGAAATGGACTAGGTCAGGCGTGGGCAAACGTTGTGACTCACGGTCCACAGTGGGTCCTAAAATTTGACACAGGGGCCGGGTCAGGAGCAGATAGATGGAGTGTTCGTGTAAACTAAGATAAATGACATGTAAAAAGGCTAAGTCTAAAAGCTAAATGTTAGCAAAATACCCAGAAAAGCAAACGCCAAACACATAACACCAAGTTTACCAAGAAAATTGGAATAAATGTTGGGATAAATTAGTGGTTCTCAATTATTTTCTGTCACCCACTTCCCTACAACCCACACGTTGGGGCCCACCTCACTATTTGAGAAGCACTGGAATAAATGCCAACCCACACGTTGGGGCCCACCCCACTATTTGAGAAGCACTGGAATAAATGGATCGGATTTTTAGATATTTTTAATAACTACAACACTTCCAAAACTCTCCTAACTATTTTAGCATTTCTATTTAGCCATTTAGCTCCATTGTGGCTAACATTTTATTCAATCATTACTTGGCTAACATGTGTTTGCTTTAACCTCAGAGAATATGTAAACCAATACTGACTTGTTCTTTTCTCATCTCCTGACCATCTTCTGAGCTACTTGTTTCTAGGCAAACATATATTCCTAATAGTAATAGTTAAAAACATGTCCGAAACAAAAAGTTGATTTATCAGAAGAAAATCTCAAACAGAGACTGATTGTATTTCATTCACTACAAATGGATGGAACCACAGTTTATTCTAAGTTGTACAGTATCAGTGGTCTCTTTGCTCTATTGTCATTTAATGTCTCGTTCTTTTTCTGCGTGGGTCGAATGCTGGGCGAGCATAGCAGCAGATGGTTGCCATAGTAACCCACATGCCCACGTCCTACCAGGCATTCCCACTCAAACACCCGCTCTACTCACTCTCTCCTCTTTCTCCATCTTTTTCCTCTCCCTGTGCTTCTCAATCTTTCTCTCTCTATTCCCTCTCCCTCCCTCGCCCAGTCTCTCCCTCTCTTACTGTTTCTATTCCATCTTTTTTTAAATCCCTTCATTCTATGTCTTTCTGTTCCTAACTCTTCCTCACACGTCTTCCCCTCTCTTCTCATCCCTCCATTTTGTGTATACTTCTCTCCTCTCCCCCCACTCCCTCGTCCCTTCCACACTCAGCTTCCTTTATCATTTTCATCTCTCTTCTCTTCCACTTTTTCTTCTCTCACCCTCACCCCCTCACCCAATATTTTCTCTCTCTCCTCGTTAACATATCGTATTCCTTCTATCCATCTTCTCTTCCATCACTGAATCATTTCACATTTTTTACCTGCTCTATTTCAACCTCCCTTCTCCCTTACACTCTCTCCTACCATCGATTGCTGCCTTCTTCCTGATTCCTTCTTTCTTCACTTCTCTTTCTTTTTCTCTCTCTTTCCTCCTCCCCTCTCTGCCTCACCCTCTCTCTTCTTCAGTTCTCCTCATTCCTACCCATCATCTCCATCTCCTTTTTATTTCCTCTCTCTCCTTCTCTTTATTGTATTTTCTGTACAGTATAAGACACCCCCCCACACAAGAATATATTTTTCTCAGTAAGCATTTTTCCAACAATCCTTTTTTCCTCTCTTCCCTTTAATATTATTATTTAATTTTTTTAAACCATATTTCCGTCTCTTCCTCTCTCTCAGACGTCACAGCTTCAAAGTTTATTCAGTAAAAGAAAAAAATAAATCAGCCACTGCAACCTGTTCAGTGCTATAAGTGGAAGTGTTATGCATATTGTTTTCATTCGCATTTTTTCACCATTTTTTTCACCTTCTGCCACCTTTTACATAAGTATCTCCTCTTCCTCATCTCCCTCCCTCCTCCTCCTCCTTACTGGAGAAAAGACCAGTTTCTATCTGTGTGTCAGTCTACGTGCAGTGGTTGGTGAATCGAGTGATGTCAGTCAATGCTGGAGCTGTTACATAATACAGACAGGATTATGCTGACAGCTGCAGGGCTAATGAGAAAAAAAGAAATGTGGAAAAAGTTATGGATCCACAACCACTGACACACTTTAAAATCAATGCCTTATAAAGGTGGGTCTAAGAGGGGACACACGATGACATGTGGAGGCTGCTCTTCTAGCTTGGTTTTTACAACTGGCTATAACAGGAGGATCCACCACAGGTTCTGTCCTTGAAGGCCGTAACAATAAGCCATAGTTTAGCAGTGTAATATTCAGGAAGCCCAGAGGAAACTCCACTGCTGAGTGTGTGAGCTTGGACACACAGAGTTTATTACAGTAATGTTTGCAGTATGCTAGTGTGTAGCATTGTTAAGGACTGGGCTGTCAGAGACACGACAGTCTGAGCATTTTATTCTGAGGGTCATTTTTTCACCAAGTCAAGCTAAGCTAAACCTGCTATCACCCTCAGCCTTTAATCTTGTCAGTTGCAATACTGCTGTCTACCTGAGTGGCAGTATTTGATAGAAGTGTTGAAATAGACAGGATGTTATGATGCCTACCTGTATATGTCTAAAATACAAAATACATTTCCCATTGCATCGACTTGCTGTCCACTAGCAGCTGTCAGAAATCTGACGTCAGGAAATATTAACCAGGAAAATAACTGAAATATGACGTCAGGAAATATTAACCAGGAAAATGTTACCACGCAAAGGTGTCATGAATTGATGTTTTAAGTTATTTTTGTTGTGTTTGGGCAGTAGGCCCTGCTGGTTGGCAGTGGTAATGCATCAGTAGTCCATTGACTTTTTTGGTCATGTCCGTGGACCATGTAGACTTGCACTTGTGTTCTAAGGAGCTGTAACCTGGACCTGTAATGGGCTGAGATCCATCTACTTCCTGTGTATGGGCTTTGGCCAAAGTTTGATTTAAAGATTTTAAATCTGTCAGATGTTAATTATGGTTGTTTTTTTTTTAAATAAAATGAATCCCAGTGAGTCCCAGTGAGTTTCCTCATTATATTTCTGAGACGGAACCACAGACACGACCACACATCGCTGTGAGGCAAACAGCAGAGTGAGAGAATAAAAAATAAAACAGAAAAGCCCGTGTGTTTTCATAGCCATTTCCAGGTCTGACTTACATAAAAATTCAACGCTGCCCACACACACACACACACACACACTTTCTTATGTAATTCCCTCTGAGAGATAGAGACTAAAATACAGGAGATGAAGACAAAAGAGAAAATGATGAAAAGAGGAAAGTCGGGGATTGAGATTCAGAGGAAACCTCAGCGTCTGTCTGCAGGCCTGCAGCACTGCAGCTCCTGCTGGCAGGAGAAGCTCAAACCTTTTTACTGTATTTTTCCAACAAGGTGTTTTTTTTCCCAACTCCACTGAGCAGCAGCAGCAGCAGCAGCAGCAGCAGCTAAACCCCCAGAGGGACAGAGAACGGTTCTGCTGATGCACTTAACAAGGAGTAGAAGAAGTGATAGTCATGGGCAGGACCTGTCAAAGGAGGAAGAGAAGAGGGGTAAAGTGCTGAGTGTGTGAGGAGGAGATGCCGAGGGAGGGAGACTTTCAGACGACATGATCTTTTTTGTCAGCCATAAACCTACAAACATCCTGCCCTGACCTGGCCAAGAGACACCAAAGGCGTCTCGCTCTCCACCTGACCTGACCAATTACCTCAGCCGCTGCTCTGCAGCCTTGTCCACCCACGGGCCTCACTGCTTTGAGACAGCAGAGGAGGCTCAGCGGCGCCCCCACAGGTGCAAAAACAACAACTCACGCCCGGTTTGAAATTCTCCTCCTCCAGATGTTCAACTGTGGAGACAGCTTTGTCAAGAGGAGAGCAGTCTGGAGCTGGAGAGGAGAGTCAATGTGGAGATGAACAATGAACAGGGGTTTTTTTTAAACTCATCCTTCCTTCACTCCATCGGGCTTTTTGTGTCCTATATTTTTCATTACGTTTATTCACTCGACCATCTCTCCTCTATTATATATTTGTTTGATTTCTCACTTTCTTGCTAACATCCAACATCCTTTCCTTCCACACACACACTATGTTGTGTGTGTGGGAGGAAGCAGCTACAGTCAAAGACAGAGTGAATGCAAAGGGTTCCAGTGAAGACACACTGACCTCTGCACTGTGCACAGCACATCCTCCTCCTTAACATTTAAAAAAAAACAAACAAGT